GAGGGCAAATATACACGTTAGTTGTCAAAACATTTACCCAGTGTAAACTGAATCTCTGGGATTCTCAGTTTTTTCATGACCTACGACCATCAGCAAGTTGCATCCCATTTGCAATTACTACATCAGTGAGCAGTGTAAACCAGCAAAAACTAATACAAAAATGTAACACTTTTAGTTGAGGCTTGCAGGAACAAAACTGATTTGCTGTGTCTTTCACTTAGAGCCATATGCTGTGCTGTTCTGCCAGGAAGAAATGTACAGATCTTTACATAAAAGTAAATAATAAATAATATTGCAAAATGAAGTCCTATAAATGGGTGCCTGTCTTGGTTTATGACTTGAAATTAAATTTCTTGTGCTCACTGCAACTAATTGCTGTGTAGAAAAGGCTCATGCCTCAGACCCAGCTTATCTCAAAGTCACTTATTTCCATGGTTAATTTCTGCATGATTATTTGTTCCTGTAATGCAATCTGCAGTGGATTTTTATATTGTCTTTCAGTACTGTTCAGTGAGAATCTCAGTTTTGTTCCTGTATATGCATGAAATGTTGGGGGAACAAATTGCATTTCTTACTGTGATTGACTCCTGTGGGGTTATTTGGCTAGGTACCAGCTTGAGGCCCTAAACATTTGTTGGAGGCAAATTCCATTTAGATATAAAAGTCCTGAACTTCATTTTGTTGCAATTTTAGAAAACATTACTCATTTCAAATTAATATATGCAGTCTACCCAGACATAAATGTTACTGCAAAATAAGAATGAAATGCTGGCATAATGCATTGTGATTAGCTTTAATTATAATGAATATTCTTCTTTTTATAACATACTTTTTTTTTTTTTTTTTAATTTGTTTTCTGGTTCTTAAGACTATGGAGATTACATTGAAGTCTTTTCCTCAGCCATGACTTAAAAATATTTAATTGCTTTTTGTTTTAAAGCTGAGATTCTTGCTAATTCCTATGACCGCAATAGATAGGGCATGAAATAGAATACTAGATAACAGGCCACAATGGTTAAGTGCATGACATCAAGAAAAATCTGATATACAAAACCAGGAGGCACAATGAAAAGTGAGAAACTTCCTTGTATGTTATTTAAAAACAACAAGGGCATAAAGGAAGACCAGGGAGACTACAGACCTGTTAGTCAAATGTTACCTGGAAAAATTAGAGAAGATCGTACCAGATGCTACTGAAAAGCATGTGAAGTGCAAGTCAATCATCAGTTTTTTGCTGGAAGCTCATCCATTAACTCCTGCTCCCTGTTTTTTACTTTCACCTAGTGTCAAACTAAGTACTGATGCAAAAGCTGGTTTTGTCTTTGTTATGAAATTGTGGTGTTTCAGTCCAACAAATCAGGCCTGTGTATCTGCAACAATTGATCACATACTAGTGGCACCTGCCTAGGATTCAGCTGTTGGACTGATAACTGAGTGAGATGAAAAAAAGGTTACTATTTTAAATTAAAAAGCTGAGGATATTCTTAGCAGAGACATTTGAGCTGTTAATCTACCACAATATTAGAATAGGAATATTTTTTGACGTGCACCCTGTGCTGGTTTTGTCTAGTCTTGGGTTCTGTGTTAAGGTGAAGGCTCTTTCATCAGCAAAGTTGGATGGAGCTCCAATGTTGGGGCATACAGGGTCCCGGCATACCTTGTTACTTTGTGTACAGTGCTCAAGGTCATACTAAGCATACTGAGAGGGTTGCTATGGCCTCTGTTGTTTTTTTTCTTCCTTGCCTGGCTAATAGGTGTTTTCATTATTGGCAACCAATTCAAATGAAATGTATCTGTTGAAATCAAGTTTAGGGTTTTTTAAATGTCTCAATTTCATCATTTTCTGTCTTTCAAAGCACCAGTTTTATTCTTTCAAAGTATTTGTAATTTTTCTAAATAGTTAGCCTGATTTAGTGTATTTTAACCGCATGAGCCACACTGAATTCTTTTAACTTTTAATATCTCTTATGAACTATTCATTCCCCTTTTCCTCTTTTTCACTTGTTACTTGAAAGTATTTGAAGTCAATGCACAGTGATGTTAATTTCAGTGATATTAAATAGTTCAGGTATAGATCAGATCTTAAACTCTTACTGTGACAAATAGAAAAAGATAAATATTGATTTTTTTTTTTCCTGAACTTTTGTGGTTTGAGATTCCATATATCACAGTTCTTGTCCTCCAGAGAAAAATGTAGTTTGTGTCATATCAGTGGAACTCAATAATAAAAGGTCAGTAAAGATGAAATGGCACCTGCCAAGGTATGTAATTAAGAGTCTCCAATCTTCTTCTGTGTAGAGAAGAAAAATGATTTGCTATAATTAAAAGGAAATTTTTGTAGTTTTGTCTGATTGCTAATATCTGATTTGTCTTTCACTGACATTGCCATGGTCCTAATTTAGTAACTGAGCATTAATTATGTGCCACTTAAGACAGGACTCTTCTTTGGCTGAAAGCAAACAGTACTGGACTCATGCACAATTATTTTCAGATTCCATCCATAAAGCTGTCCATCATAAATACCGGAGGGAGAAAAGCTGATCATCTTTCTTGTATTAGGCAGTAGGCAAAAATGTGAAGTGTAAATAAATGCTATGAATCGTGACAATATAAACCATGAGAAGCTGCTGGGCAGTGGCACAAGGACGAGCAGACAGATCTGGCAGCCAGACTGGACCTGAGAGCCCGATGGCTAAAGCAGACAGACAGGACACAGAGCCCTCAGCTAGGGAAGTTTGAATACCCTATTTGGGTTTTCTAGGCAACACCGCACTGACAGGACTGTTGGATATTATCAACAAAAGTACATTTCACCTGCCATCTCATCAGAATACAAACATTGTTCCTTCCATTGCCATCAGAGCTAAAGCAAGAATAACACAAACTTGCTGTAGAGCACTCAGCTGGGAGGGGAGAGATTTCTTCTTCCCAAGACTGTTTCTGTTCATGATAGTCTAATCTGAAATGTATTAATGATCTATATCATCTTACTGAGGCCTATGTTTCAGATATAAAATCTGGATTTTTGCCATCTGTACCTACATGAGCTAAATGTTTTTGATAGCAAGAAGCTCTTTAGTCAAGCAGATAAAAGCATGGAAAAAGACAATGCTATGAAAGTGAAGATAAGTAAGTGTGGGCTGGAAACAAGAAGAGAGTAGTAGATTCTTTGTTCCTGAGCCTGTAACTCAGAACCCACTATTTTTTTTTCTGTATTGAGATATGTGTTTAATGCAGGAATTATGGCCAAGGGCTTTCAAGAGCTGTGTTACACAGAAAATCAAGATGGATGAGGGATGATCAGAAAGTCTCCACTGCCTCTAAAACAGTCTAGCCTTAAAATAGGTTTAAAGTTAAACTCTTAAAACTGTATAATTTGGTTTAATTTAGTGGAGCTGTGTCATTTTACAGCTGTAAGTGTATCTACTTTTTTAGGCCTGACTTCCCAGTAATATACAAGAAATAATTTATTAGGCTCTTGTAGCAAAAAAGATGGTTCCTTCATCAAAAATTGTCTTCTCACAGCCTTTTGCCTTCTCTTCCCCTGAGAAATAAGGCATCTGATTGCAACAACCAGTGCTTGCTTTCCCTCTGGGTTCTTTGCCAAACCCAGCTCTGCACAAAGTAAATACAAATTGTTGTCAGGGTGGCAGGGATAGCTTTGCCCACATCCAGCTAACTAGGAAACAAGTGGCTGAATTGTGGGGGAAAGAGAAGCAAAATGCTGTGCCTGGGGAGGGTATCCTGCTGTGCCCTGTGTCGGTACGTGTAGGGGTTTTGCCCTGGTATGGGATAGACTAGTGCTATCCCCAGGGGAGTCTTCTGACTTACCTCGATCCCACACCTGTGAAGGAGCACTAGGAGAAACTGATAGTTAAATGGAGGGAAAAAAAGGATTACAGCTGTGGATTCCCCTGAAGATCATCTTTTTTGTTATCAGATTTGCTGGAAGTAGGTGCCACTCAAATCCAGAGAATTTTGGCAGACTTGTTCTCAATGCTTCTGTGTAGTTGGCTGTTACTACTGGCAAGGATCAAGAAAAAATATCCTGGAAAGAGCTGGACTGACATAGATCTATTCAGGTTTTTCATCTTACAGTACTAAAAGGAGGCCTGTAAGCCATGCGAAAAGATGGAAATTTCTTCCAAGAGGTTCCTTCGGTCATAAGTCTTGGGAAGTGGTATCCAGTGTTGTGTCACCAAGAACTGTAAAGGAAGTTGCAAGAACAAAACCATAGGAAATAGCTAAAACCCCCACTGAGTCATGACTAAGAACTTGCCATGCAAATCCACAAAGATATGTGGGGGGTGTCAGGACCCTGAACCTTGAAAGAGAGAGTAGAAATGTCCTACAAGCCAGATTTTTTAAAATCTCTTACTGGAGGATATAACTGGTCTCTGACACCTAGATCTTAGTATTAACCTAAATCACGTTTTGACTGATTATCTGATGTATACGTAAATAAAGATAAGACCTGCCACATCACACTCATGCCAAGGCTTGTCTGGTGTTCCCATATACAAGTTGTCAGAACTGAAGCTATATCTAGCTGATGGGGCAGAAGTACAAAAGGTTCTGTCATTTTTGGGCTCCCAATCTTGAATATTAAGCCTTCTGCAATGTATAAAAGTCAGTGCAATATTTGAAAATGTTCATGGATGTTAAAAGTTGAATCCTTCAACATTTTTAGTTCTTGTAGAAAATGGATTTCCCCTGGGTAATACTAAAACAGCTAAATCTGAAAACCTGCCTAGAAGAGGAATAGCTCTCAAGTATGAAAAATCTTCCATTATAAGATAAATACAAGTTAAACAAAATCTGACATGATGGACAGAGCAGCTAGGTCCAGTGGGGTTTTAAGCATAGAGAATAAAGGAAATAGTTTTCACTGTTGCTTCAAACATGTAATAGTGAGAAAAAGCATCTTATTTCTTTGAGTTTAAAATGGATGCTGCACAAAATAATGAAAGTAAACATTTTAATGGTTTGGTTCATTGCAGGCATTGTGTCCCTGATCTCCCTGGCAGTCCTGTCCTATGAACGCTACAGCACTCTCACCCTGTGCAACAAGCGCAGCGCTGACTACCGGAAGGCACTGCTGGCCGTTGGTGGTTCATGGATTTATTCCCTGGTCTGGACTGTGCCACCTCTGATCGGTTGGAGCAGTTACGGGATAGAAGGTGCGGGTACGAGCTGTTCAGTACGCTGGTCCTCGGAGTCAGCTGAGTCCACATCCTATATCATCTGTCTCTTCATATTCTGCTTGGTCATCCCTGTGATGGTCATGATGTACTGCTACGGCCGCCTCCTTTACGCTGTTAAACAGGTAAGTTACTGTATGCTATTGAGAGTGCAAACTGCTCTGAGACATATGCTGAATTTCTTTTCTATCGAGTTTGGAAGCACTGATGTTAAGGAGCAAAACAACAAAGCAGAACCAAGTGGAAAAGACCACAGAAAGCCTAGAGGAAGGGACAGGAGGTCTTCAGTAAGCTTTTTCATACTCCAGAGCTCCAAGCAGTTAGAACATAACATCCATATAGATATTGACTTTATGGTTTGTAAATATATATACTAGGAAAACCAGCATATCTGGATGAAAGTTGCATTTGTAATGAAGCCAACACACATGATTACCTGTCTATAAATAAGACATCTGTGCAAAGATTTTTTCCTCATTTTTGATCATGATATTTTAATAATTTCTGCTTCTTAATCTGTGGAGACCTAACTCTACAGTAATGCAGTTCTACTGCAATTTGCAGAGTTATTGCAGGGATCAGTTTCTCTTTGTAATTCTAGGCCACATTTAAAAGTTTCCTTAAGTAGTACTACAAACACTACTACTATGACTGCTACTATGCCAGCACTCCTCTGACTGGTTTAAGGGGTACTGCAGATATTACATAATGAATGTTTCAAAAGACTCTGCCAGAGGGTGTGATATTTTGAAGTTTGAATACTCTTGGGACAGTAACAAAATAGTTTAGCAATGAATAATGAGAAAAGAATGAGTGTATATGTGTTCTCTAAAATGTTTGCATGAATTAACTAAACTTGTTAATTGGGGATAAAAAAAGCACTAAATCCCTGAATAGGGGCTCTCATACAGAATTCAAGTGGCTATAGTTTACTTTTCATTAGTCATAAGGAATTAAAGTCCTGCCTTTTACATGATTTGTCAAGAATTTCAGAATACTTGAAGGCCAAACTGGAAATATTTTCTTGCTTGAGTGCCGCGTGGGCCAGTAAAATCCCTTTGATTAATCACACATTAGTATTCCTCTTAATGCTGCAAGAGTAATATGGAAAAAAATTCTCTTGATTATAAACCATTACAGTGAAGTTGCAGATCATAACTGATCCCTGGGCAGCAGTATACTTTACCATAACCTTAAAGAAAGGAGCAGGGTCTTGGAACATGTGTTACTACAGATTTTTAAAAGATACAACTTTCTTAAGCTTTTGTCTCTTCTTTCCCTCAGCCCTTACTGTCATTCCTGACCACAGACATCACCCACAGCGTACAAATACTTGTATGGATGAAGCTTCTGCAGCATGTGCTTTAGCTTCTAGTTCTAAATGTAGCCTTGTGTTATTATAGTCACCTTTTTAAAATTCAGCTATATTAAAAATAGTAGTAGACCTGGGTCTTAAGAATTTGTGGCAAACATGCTGAGGGAACAAAGTACCATAGCAAAGGTATGTGCAGTCTATAACCATTTTGTGTTTAGTCATGAAGACTGAGTAGACTGGGTGGAAGACTAGGTTGATTGAAAAAATAGGAGAAGGAATAGCATTTTCCACAATCCTCTCTTCTCTGTCCTCCATGTGCTTTCAAGAGTGGTCAGGAAGCCTCTGGGATGCTGAGGTTAGAGAGCCCTGAGAAATTTTTTAAGTAGTGGAAGTGAAACAGAATTGAAGCAGATCTTACATAACCTGTTGGAGGGCAGGTGTTAGGGAACTAATGACTGTGAAATCCAATGAGTATTAGATTGTTTCTCCTCTCTAAAGTTGTTATGACTCAGGGTCATAACAGCTGCTGAGCATTTGCGAAGTCTTGACTAGCTAAACCCTAAATTTTTACACAGAACATCTAATGCTTTCCTGGCATTTGTGAAAGATTTCCTTTATAAGTTATATTTCAGCAAAAATAATGTCAATCAAAAAACTCATCAGTCCTCTTCTTTCTCTGATGTATACTTCCAGTACCATAATCCTGAAATTTTACATTTTATAAATTTCCTGTGACGTATATATAAATTTCCAATGACCGTGTCGTGACACAGTCACTGAAATACACATTTTTTTTCCTTTGGTTTGAGGTCCTCTAATTATTCTGTAATAAACGGGGTAGATTATGAAATGCTAAAGCATGCCATGTTTCAAACTGGAGGAAGAGATGAGCGATATGCAAATAAAAGTATAGTAGTTCTTACAAAAGTATAGTAGTTCTTAGCTAAAACTACAAAGAGTAGATATGGTAATACAAAAAAAAAAAAAAAGTTAAGAGGTTACTACATCAATTGTAACGCTTTTACTTTCTGGTGTGGGCAAAAAATTAATTATCTTGAAATATTCTGGCCTCATAGATTAAAGTCCTTCTATGACCCTCTCTGTAATATATTAGAAGAAATGTGGGAGTATTGCAGACATAATAAGTGCATTATCTCAGCTTCAGCTGCTTGGTAAAATTTCTAAAATATGCATTTCATATTTTTGTAAGATACATAGAAGATTTTATGTTAGAGCATTGTAGCATTAATGATATTGCATCCTGAGACAAAGAGTGTGGAAGTTATGCCGTTATTAATACTGAAATGTAAATGAATTGAGGTGGGAGAAATATTTTAATAGATTTGGGACAGTTAATGCAAGAATTGGCGCAGTGCCTGCATTTTCTCTTTGCAGGGACAATAATTATGCTTTTCTCTTTTTTTTCCCCTAAATTTAGTCAGGTGCTGTACCCTTCTTTTGTTTGAGGCATTAATAGATCCTATGAATTCATTTGCAATCTCTGTAATGGTAAAAGGCACAAGGATTTCAGTAATACAGGTTTTATGAAAAATCATCTTTTCAAGGAATTACAAGTCAATAGCATTCCTGTATGAATAATGTTACCTCTAGATGCCATTAAACAACATTGCAGTGTGACTGTACTGTTATCTGAGAGCTTTTGCCATTTATCAAGTGTGAAGAGACTTAGGAAGGGAATTGTTTGTGATTTTCTTTAAAGGTATGGGTTTTTTTTCCAGAATGGCTTTATCTGGACAGTTGAGTTTGGTTCTGTGGATCGTATTTGTTGTCATCCTTGTGCGACTTGCTTGGAGGAGGAAATACTAGCTCTGAATAGTGAGAGCACTTCAGAGATGCTGGACAAAATAACGCTCAAAATGAAGAGCTGCTAAAAAAAAAACCTGTGGCTTCAGAAGCTGTTAAGGAACTTGGCAGTGCATCAGATTTTAAGGCATAGAGAAACACAGATATTTTATTAGGCTTTTCTTCCCTCTGAGTCCGCATTTTCACTCATGCTGATCTTGTTTCCTGTTTTTTTTTGAAACCTGTTTTTCTGTTCCTGCAGACACAGAAATTCAGTTTCTTCCTTAAGTTTTCCTTTAGAGAGGATGTGTCTGGTACCTGTAAGTAGAAAGGGGCAAAGGTTTCTCCCTCACAAAGATTATCTACGTGTATTTTATTCATGCTCATTATACAGAACAAGGGAAGGAAACTGAGAATGGTTTACTTCTTCTAGTGTAATTAGATTTTTTTTCCCAGTTTTTGGCTTATGATGCTTCCCTGTGACTCTACCATTGCATTCCCTCTGGAAAAATGTTCTTTATAAAGTCAGTGTCAGTTGTTTACACTGAAAAGCAGGCTCCCAAATGTGGAATTACAGAGATTAGCATCGTGATCACTTTAGCACAGAAGGCAAAATATGATTAAAATCCTCCACTGAGGGACCCAGAGAACTCGTATGAACCAGCCTAATGCAAATCAGTAAAACTTTTAAAAAAGATCTCTTCAGTCTACATTATCTCCCACTTGCACACAGAAATCCTGTTCAAGGACAAGAAGAATCCCAGAACATTATTTCAAGAAAAGTTTTCAGATGGATTTTGTGGAGACTCTTGCCTTGGCTCATTTCATTGCCAATCTTCTTTCTTTGAAAGCTGTGCCTGAACAAAGCTCAGCAGCTCTTTATGGAATGTAGCTAGGACACAGAAAACAATAAAAAGGGTTGTAAGCAGAGCATGAAGACTTAAACACATAGTGTAATACTGACCATGTAATTCTTCCGCAGTGCCACAGACTGTGAGAAAGTGGGCAAAGGGCCAGTGGTCACAGTGACTCATGGGGTTCTGGAGCAGATGGATTTATGACCTGACCTGATAGTACTACTGTGTTGGTTTTTAATGTTTTACTTGAGAACAACCAGGAAAAAGTTGAGATGGAAAACATTCATTATATTCTTTCACATTATTACCTCAGTTCTACTTTGACTTTTTTTTGACCAAAAAAAAAAAATAAAAAAAAAAAAAAATCAATTAATATTTTAAGATTAGCCCATATGAGATAGAAGCCAGCCTTACCAGTATGCCTTGTTCTCCACCCTGTAGTGTACCTGCTAATGCTTAATTCCTCATAAACTACAGTTTAACTAGTGCCTAAAATGTGGGTTCAGGTAGTGGAATTACCTGACTGTTTCCCTTTACAGCAACTTTTGTTACTTATTTTGAAAAGTGTGACAAAATTTCTGACTTCCATGTGTCATAGGAGAATCAGATCAGTCTTTTTTATCCCATCCCTTGAGTCTTGTCACCTTGTAGGGAAATGGGGACAGTCAGGGCTATGCTGCAGAGAGCTGACTGATCCTCTCTTTTACTCCTCTTCCAGACTTCAAATTACCAAATTTAGTGGAGAAAACGTGCTTCAGTCTCTTTTTAAGAAGTAATGCCCCAGAGTGAAATTGTGACTCGATTATAAACCTGAAGAAACTACTTTTGAATTCTGTGTGGTGAGATTTCAGTTCCAGCGTATTTTTTTAAACATTGCAAGTAGTGGTTTTGAAATCTCCTGTGACCACAAAGAAACTCTGAGATGCAAATTTTTATGACTTCTGATTCCTTTATCCTGCTTTATGTCTGTACTCTTTGAAACAGTTAAAAATATCTGTAAAAGCAATTATTACATCATTGTTCATTAAAGTAGTCAGGAAAGGATTATAAAGCAGAAGGATGACTCCTGTGACTGTTTCCAGTTCTCCAGCTCATTTAGAAATGATTGTTTGTAGGAACACAACACATTAGGGCAGAATGCTCCATAATT